ATGTGGGCCAGTGTTCCCTCTAAGCTGAGTTAGTGTGAGCTAGCTCACAGTTTTTTAGCCTCCAGCTCACACATTTTTGTCTTCGTTCAGGGAGGAGGGCTCCAGAGCAAACTAATTGATGCAGCAGCCAAATTGCTTGCTCACAACTTTAATGGCAGTAGCTCACAAAGTAGAATTTTTGCTCACAAGACTCCACAGCTTAGAGGGAACATTGGATGTGGCAGTAATGAATTAGCATTTATTTATGATGTTTGATCGTCTTGTAATGAAGGCGGGGTAATTATTGTTATACATGCATCGCGGTGATCTCTCTGCAATTTTAGTATGTCTGCTCCTTCGCACAGTTTGAAACTGTCTTGTAAATGAGCGCATTATTGTCTTTGTACTTATTTGTTTTCGGGGGTCTACTGCTGAGAGAAAAGTGACTTCCTTAAGGCCATTTGGTGAGATCCTGGCAATAATTTGGACTCATCTGACCTGGCTATGCTGAATCAAGATTTTGTGACCTCACAGTTGGACTACTGTAACACGCTGTACACTTGGCTACTCTTAGAGACAAAGTGGTTCAAAATATGGCAGCTATATTAGTGTTGGGTTGTATAAATATAATAACACAGTGAAAGCAAGTTTTAGTACAAAAACACAACACTGAGGCTGTAGCACTGTTTAAAGAAATACAAATGGATCTGTAAAGTCCTAAAGAAGAAAAGAAGAGAGAATAGAGAAGCCGCCCTGAGCCCGTTCGCGGGGAGGACGGGGTAAAAATGCAATAAATAAATAAATAAGAGATTGGATTTATACCCCGCCCTTCACTACCCAAAGGTGTCTCAGAGCAGCTCACAAACTCCTTTCCCTTCCCCTCCCCACAACAGACACCCTGTGAGGGAGGTGGGGCTGAGAGAGCTCTTGACAGAAACTGCTCTTTTTCAAGAACAGCTCTTATCAGAACTACGGCTTGCCCAAGGTCATCCAGCCAGGTGCAAGTGGAAGAGTGGGGAATCAAACCCGGTTCTCCCAGATTAAAGTCAGCACACTTAACCACTACACCAAACTGGCTCCTAGTCTTATTGAAAATTTGTAGTACAAATAGCTAACATCTCAGCTAACATCTAATAAAAAGGTAAAGATTCCCTTGCTCGAAAGCCAGTCGAATCCGACTCTAGGGTTGCAGTGCTCATCTCCGTTTCAAAGCCGAAGAGCCCGCGCTGTCCGAAGACGTTTCCGTGGTCATGTGGCCGGCATGACATCTAATACATCCATACAAATTCAATATGGTCCACACAGGACTCCTTAGATAAATTCCAGCTTCCAAAAACTTCAATTACAATTCAGTACATTAGAATACAGCCTTCTCTAGAGTGGTCAGTGGCGACGAAGGCCTAGGTTCTCTTGGTTTCAGCTTTCCTTTCTTCAAGCCACTTTCCAGAAGAACCTGCCAAGTCCACAAAACCTCCTATTGACTGATGCATAGCAGTCTACAAGACTGTTCCCCTGGGTGGCCAACAACAGGGCATAGAGTCTGAGACCTTCTCCTGATGTTGCCTTCTGGCTTTGGGATTCAGAGGATTAGTGGCTCTGAATGTGGAGGTTCCCCCATGGCTAGTAGCCATTGATAGACTTATCTTCCATAAATCTGTCTCATCCCCTTTTAAAGCTGTTTATTCCTGAGGTCATTACTACATCCTCTTAATACATCCTTGGGCAGTGAATCCCACATTTTAATCACTCTCTGTGTAAAGTAGCATTTACTTTTGTCCATCCTGTACATGCTGCCCATCACCTTCTGATAGGCTTCCCAAGTCCCCCCGGGGGGTGGGAAACCCCCGCCCCAGAGGCCCGTTCCCCGCTGCCGGCGGATCGGGCCCCGGGGGGACTCCTCCCCGACATGCGCGTCACCCGGAAGTGATGCGACCACGCCAGGCACGCTGGGGGCGGGGGCATGGTCATCCGAGGGAAAACTCTATGGTTTTCCCTCGGATGGTCGTGGCCCCACCCCGGCGTGCCCGGCGTCGTCACGTCACTTCCGGGTGACACGCATGCGGCACGCGCGTGCTCCAGCCGCGGTGCGGGAGCCCCCCGGTAAGGAGAAATTTCGACTTGGCAACCCTACCTTCTGGTTCTTACTCTGTGTAAATGTCAGGTTCCCAGTCAAATCACTCGTCACACACACTTTGGCAGTCTGGGAATCTTCATTCTCTCCTGTCAGGCGAGGAGGGCACGTAACACTCCCCCCCCCCCCAAAAAAATGCCGTTATGTCAGCAGACATCCTAATATCCCTTGCATAGAAACATGCTGCTCCTTGATTCTCAGACGACTAGAAGCCTTTCTTTTAGCCACAGGTTTTCTTGTTCTCTGCACCAACGCAATATTAGTAATGTCCTTTTTAAAAAGCTCTATGCATTTTTATGCATTGCCAGAAATAGAGACTCGTTCAGAGATGTGACGAAACATGGCTTGAAACTGCCGCGAGACAGAGACCCAAGGGCTCACCTACAGTGCATTCTTAGGCCCTTCTAAGGGTATAGCCGCGCTCAGGAATATGCTGCTGATGTCTTCCAGAAACAGCTTAACAGTGGCCTTAATGTGCTTAGCCTAAGGCTGTGTGCACATTTTCAGCTGCACGCCTTCTGTGGGACTGCCCTTGCTGTACTTGTGAGCAGGGCTTTTTTTGTAGAAAAAGCCCAGCAGGAAATCATTAGCATAATAGGCCACACCCAATAGCAGAAACTCATTAGCATATTGCGCCACACCCCTGACAGCACCACTCATTAGCATATTAGGCCGGACCCACATGTTACCAGAAGTGTGGTCATCCAGCCACACCCACCTTTTGCTTCTTATTCTGTTTACCTTGTTTGTTGTCACCCAGAGCTCTTTTTGTAGCAGGAACTTCTTTGCATGTTAGGCCACACACCCCTAATGTAGCCAATCCTAATGAGTTCCTGCTGTTGGGTGTGGCCTATTATGCTAATGAGTTCCTGGTGGGCGTGGCCAACTCGGGAGCCAGCCGGAACTCCGTTCCTGTGCGTTCCTGCCCCAAAATAGCCCTGCTTGTGAGAGGCGCAAGGTCTTTTCTGTGGGGTTGGGGGATGATCCGTTTCTGTGCTTGGAGAAGGAACCTTCATGACACAGTGCAGACCAGCCAGTCCTGGTACCCATCGCCACGCTACGTGGCCTTTTCTCAAAGGGGGCTTGTGTCCAGTGCCATCTGGCTAACCCTCCCACCGGTCACAAACTCCGCGCCCCCTTGCAAATTTTCACAGTTTTAAAATGATGGGCAGGAAGAGACCTTTAAAATAATAGTGTCTCTGTGAATCCTGACAGCCAGTTTGGTGTAGTGGTGAAGTGCGCGGACTCTAATCTGGGAGAACCGGGTTTGATTCCCCACTCCTCCACTCGCACCTGGTTGGATGGCCTTGGGCAAGCCGTAGTTCTGATAAGAGCTGTCCTTGAGTCTCTGTCCTTAAAATAATAGTGTCTCTGTGAATCCTGACAGCCAGTTTGGTGTAGTGGTGAAGTGCGCGGACTCTAATCTGGGAGAACCGGGTTTGATTCCCCACTCCTCCACTCGCACCTGGTTGGATGGCCTTGGGCAAGCCGTAGTTCTGATAAGAGCTGTCCTTGAGAAGGAGCAGTTTCTGTCAGAGCTCTCTCAGCCCCACCAACCTCACAGAGTGTCTGCTGTGGTGAGGGGAAGGGAAAGGAGTTTGTAAGCCGCTCTGAGACTCCGTTGGGTAGTGAAGGGCGGGGTATAAATCCAATCTCTTCTTCTTTCATGGGCGATAAGCATGAAGACCCTTTAAGAACAGAATGATAAGCCAGGCAGACAGTCTACCGGCAGCGGGGGGGGGGGGCGCAACGCTCGGCTGTCACCCTGGAGCCAGGTATGCGTGTCAGTGGAGGAGCTCCAGGCGGGGAGGCGCAGAGCTCATCTGTATGCAGTTTAAATTGCCTTGCATTGCTCTCTCCGGAGCCACGCTCCAGAGAGGACAGTTCTGCATCTTTGCAGCAAGAAACAGGCCATGACAGGCTTCCAGCCTCCCCAGGGCTGTCGCCCTTTCTCCAAGCCCGAGAATAGCATTGTGTGCATTTTAAAGCATGTCTGTTTATTTTAATGAGGGGATGAAGGAAATGCATAGTTGAATCAACCTGCACGTGGTACTTTGAGGCATGAAGAACAGATAGGCGGCCAGACTGCAGGGCGGGTACAGGGAGAGCCAGGACTGTGAAGCCAGCCTTTTGAGGGGATAGAACGGACACCTGTCATCCCGATTCCAAACCTAGGAGGGATGCGATGGGTGAAGAATCTCAGCGTGGCTTCTCTTTTGTGTCTGATGCACGGTCTTCTCCTCTAAACAGAGCCTTTGTTTCCACTAAAACTGTCTCTCTGGTTCTGGGTTCGTTTGAAGTGTGTGCAAAGAGTCACATAACCAGTTAATAAAAGCAGCCGCATTACCCTGGAGTTCTTACATAAAACTCACAGGGACAGTAATCGGGCCTCGGCGAGAGGAAAAGAGCTCAAGGAAGCTGGCTTTTGATCGCATACGCGCCATCTGTCCGCTGAGCTGTTGCGACCAAACGGGCATAATCACAGGAATTATGCAAGACCGGTTTTCCAGTCGGCGTGCCGTAATCTTCCGGATGTTTGGTTTATTTTGGGTACCGAAATAGACGGTTAATTACACTAACCTGACTTTCCCGCCTCAAAGGCAGGTATGTGTTTTATGTGCCAAGAGAAAGAGAAATCTTGCTTTTAATAAATGCCAGGA